GTATCTGGGAAAATCTTGGGAAACATTTCTATGCGGGGAATGTGAAATTTTACGCGACAAGAAATCGCCTTCGCGAAAACGGACGAACGCGAAACGACCGCCGCGTGTAGAAGCGCTGCGCCAGAGAATGACATCTCTCCGACGAGAGCTACATCGAAGCTGCTTCCACGAAGTTCTCTCTTTCTTTCTCACCTTACTTTTGTTTTTTTTTTTTAACAAACTCTCCTTTTCTTTAACGCGATTATCTACATGTGCGCTATCTTAGCCTGTGCTCCGACGAGAAGTGGGCAAATGCAAAATGCCTCCCTCTTCCGCGCTTCCTCGTTAACGGAAGATCTTTAGCGACGCCACACGAGCGTATTACTCCTCGTTAAGGTATCGTGTACAATCGATCGAGCGGCGAGCTCGGCTGCTCGGCGTCAATAAGACGAGCGAACGAATAAGCCGACGGCTCGGTGCAAATGAGTTGCCACTCCGAACGCGCAGCTTTGCTTTCTTCCCCTTGTGTTTCTTCTCTTTCTTTTTTGTTTTTTTTTTACTTCTTTCTCTTTTCACGGGGAGCGAATCTTCCGATGTGAGTGACGTCCGTTCACCGGGAATGCGCGAGATTAAAGAGCGATCACGTTGAAACGACGGCGAGCCCGGGGCGACTATAAACCGAAAAGAGGATATTAAAAAATAGACCTCTTTCAATTCCCACTGACGACAACTTTACTAATTATTGGAAATTATTTCTGGGAAACAGTTTTCTATTCCTCTAGAAAACAAAACAATTGTTTGTCCATCAGGACCGGAAAATTAATGAAAATCAAGATTTACTGTCGATTTTTGAAATAGTCATATGGAGTATTTCTTAAGCTTTGTACCTTCGACATGTCTTTAAAATAAAATCGATTGCACATTTATGTGTTGAAAGGCACGTAGTAAATGTAGAGAATTTGATTTTTTGGTTCATATATGATGACTCACTGAGAAAAAAAATATCTAAAAAATAATAAATATGTATTTATTCGGTGTGAGTACTAATATCGTATTTATTTAAATCTAAATTATTTAAATAAAATAAACAATTGCTTTTCTCAAAAAGTTTTGAGAAAATGTATATGTATTTTCCTATTTAAAAATTTTATTAGTATAAGTAAATATTTTATTAATTACTAAATAAATGTTTTTATTTCTTAAACATTTTTTCCTTTAGTATATATATATATATATATATATATATATATATATATATATATATGTGTGTGTGTGTGTTACATAAATATATAAGTAATTATAAAAAATGTGTTTGTGCGAACAAAAGTAATGGGTTTCTTGACTTTTTCTTTTTTTCTCAAAGTATTTCAAGCAAAGAATTTGTTAGGTAAAGACTAAAAAATGTACATGGTAAGTTTTTCGAATCCTTCTGCACAACAAACATTGTGTAAGCCAGAAGAACAAACTTCTCTATATTTACCACATACCTCTCAAAACATAATTGTGCAATTGATTTTATTTTAACACGGGAAAAATAACTCCGTTAGCGTAATTGAATTTTCTATTATCTGAGAGCCAGATGGAAAACCCGGTTGTGAGAACAGAAAGATTCCTCTAAGAGGCTCCTACTCAGCCAATTGCTCTCGGTTACTTCAACCGAGTTTTAATGCAGCTGAATGTCAGACAGATGTCGCAATAACAGAGATATTATTTCTTGTCAGCGAGTTTTTCGTCTGGCTGCCATTCAATTGCACGAGTTGACATATCTTTTCCGTGAAAGAGACGTATCAAGGGTACAAAGCTTTAAAACACACTTCACATAACTATTTCAGCAATAAATCTCGATTTTTATAATTTTTCCCGAATCCGGTGAACAAATACACGGACAAAAACAATTCTGTTGGTGTCACCAGATTTTCTGTGACTTGAAGACCAGATGGAAAATTCGGAAATAAAAAGATTCCTGTAAGAGGCTTCTATTCAGCCAATTTCTCTCGGTTATCTCAACCAAGTTTTAATACAGCTGAATGTCAAACAGATGTCGCAATAACAGAAATATTATTTCTTGTCAGCGAGTTTTTCGTCTGGCTGCCACTCAATTGCACGAGTTGATATGTCTTTTCCGTGAAAGAGACATATCAAGGGTACAAACCTTTAAAAAACATTTCATATGGCTATTTCAGCAATCAACAATAAATCTCGATTTTCATAATTTTTCCCGGACCAGGTGAACAATTACATGGATAAAAATACTAACACCATTAGTGCGACTGAATTTTCTATTACTTGGGGTTCAGATAAAAAATTCGGTTGTAAGAATAGAAAGATTTCTCTGCAGGATGTTCCTACCAAGCCAATCACTCTCACTTGTCTCCAGCGGGTTTTAATGCAGCTGAATGTTCGATCGAATATTTGTCAGTCACAGCAACAGAGATATTGTTTCAGCGAGTTGTTCGTCCAGTTCCCATTCAGTTAGCCGAACTGAAATTTGTTTCCCGTGCAATTGTTAACTCCTGGAAGATCCCAGAAACAAAGTCTCCATTGATTAGTTAAGGTTACGTCAGTGGACCAGAGAAGGCATATTTTTGATATGCTCCTTTCATCGCGTCGACTCCACCGCGACGAAATCTCGACGGCGAATTAGCGACGTAGCGACGGGATTGAATTCGAGTCGAGCCTCGGAGTCTCGACGAGTCTGAGTCGCTTCGACACGACACAGCGCAAACGAGAATAACCCTCTCGCTCACCGGCGTCGCAACCTCTTTGCACCCAGCCACTCGAGGTAGCAAGCGAAATGCCAAGGGGAAGTTGGTAACGAATAAAGTTTGTAGTGACCGATGGTGCGTACGTTTCGCGCTTATCCAGCATGTGCATGGCTCTTTTCTCTCGCAGCGAGTTTGCGCTATATTACTTGATATGCGCGTAAGTACACGACCACACAATATATAATATGCCTTTATGAGAAATTTATACACTCTGTATATATTTATATATATACATACACGCACGTTTACGCAGCTTTTAGTGCACTCGCGTTCGCAACTCTTGCGTTCTCTCTCTCTCTCCCTTAATTTCGATTCCTTATTCTTGAATTCAAAAATGAATCACGAATCCGCAAATAACGCTTTAAGGAGACTAGAGGGTCAGATTGCCTGAAAATCGTGCTTGTTTTTCATGGTTTTTTATGACGAACTGAATGAATATGCGAAAGTGTTATTTTGGTGTGTATTTATGCAACATATAAAGAGAAGAAAAATATAATTTTGATGAACAAATACTCAATATAAGTGTATGGTTCATGCAGTTAAAATATATTTCTGTTTTTTTTTCAAGGTCGTCATTTTGCAGTAATATCTTGACTTTCCGTGATTCAATTAAGCTGAATTTTAGGTAGAAAATTTCCGTAAGCTTGTCATTATCGGGTGAAAATCACTAACAAACTCATGAAAATATTTAATTTTGAAATATTAATTTTATTACTATAAGAGAACTGAAAATTTTAATAATATTCCATTAAGATATTTGCAATTTTGTTAACTTTTACTCAATTTCTATTATAGTGGTTCACCCGATAACGACAAGCTTACGGGAATTTTCTACCTAAAATTCAGTTTAATTGAACCGAGAATCAAGATATTATTGCAAAATGACGACCTTGAAAAGAGAAACGAAATTTAACGAATTTTAACTGCATGTACCATATATTTATATTGATTAGTATTTGATCATCAAAATTATATTTTTCTTCTCTTTATATGTTGTATAAATACACGTCAAAATAATACTTTCGCATATTCATTCAGTTTGTCATAAAAAATTGTGAAAAATAAGCACGATGTTCAAGCAATCTGACCGTCCAGTTCCCTTAAAGAGAAGGAGAGAGGGAGAGAAAAAGCACGTATATATCTCTTGCGAACGTGACGAATCGCGCGCAATTTCTTTCGTTTTTCTGTCTTCTCTTTTTTATTTATTATTGTTGACCGCTTATACGCACTCGCCCGCGACGTGCACGGACTTCTTTGCCTGCAACTTGGCGTTGTTGTCTTGGCGTGACCCGATGAGAATAACGAGTGATTATTAATAACGTAATGAGCCCCGGTAAGCTCTGTGGTATGAATAACGTAGTGATGGTTAACGTACGGCGGAAATCATCGCAGGTGATTTGCGCTCGCGACGACGATGTGGCGCGAACACCAAGCGTAACTGAAATCTAAGTCGGTCTATAAACATATTTATCGAGAAGAGGTTCTGGACTTTAGACTGCCAAAGAACAGGAGGTTCTTGCCAATCTCCTTCTAAAAGAAACAAATAGAGATGTCAATATAGTATTGTACTTTTGATCGTACTATTTATCGCTGCTTTGTGCTTGAAGGAATCAGAAGAAAATGAAATTCCGTCCAGGTTTTATGTGCTGACGAGCCAGACACCTGTCGGACAACATCACGGCTCGTATAATAATCGAAAACAAATGAGACAAAAAATTTGAAATATACACTGAATTTACTGAAGCATAATTTTAAATCTTTTGGCAAATTTACAAAAAATTAATACTTTTCTCTGGACACTAAATAAAATAGAAAGAGAGAGGAGAATATGACTTCAAAGTGCCGGCGCTTTATTAAATTCCGACTTTTATTTTCTCATCTCATTCTTTCAGATTATTTTTACGAGCTGCAAAATATTTTTATAATAAAGATAAATATTTTTAAAATAATAATAAATAGCATGTTCAAAATCCTATATTGATATCTTCACTTTTTTTGGGGAAAAAATTTGCGGAAACCTATTTTTTTGGCCATCCAAACCAGAATTTTTTCTTAATATCCTTCCATCGTGTAAAATGAAATTTACGAAGGATATTAATGTCCTTGTGCCATTTGTTCATTTCTTGTTCAGTTCAATTCTTGATCGACGAACAATGTCGATCGATTTCGCCACGTCGATCGTCGCTCGACGATCTAGACGCGAATCAAACGTCATTATCATTCAGATATCACAAGGCGTGTCTCTCGTACTTATAGGTGCAGCAGCTAATCTACGTAAGGAAGTAATCCGTAACAAGATTAGAGCCATTGGCAAAATGGCGCGTGTCTTCTCCGTCCTGAGGTCAGTGAACGATAACATTGCATCCCGCCGAGAGAGCTCTCTTAATGAAACGCATGAGAACTGACCTTATAATCACACGGCGGGTTTTCTTTTCGCAGAGAGGAGAGCGAGAGCGTGCTGCAGCTGAAGGGCTTGACGCCGACTGGAGCTCTGCCGCTTGGTGCATTATCCGGCGGCAAGACTTCCCTGAAAAATGGTGAGAAATCGTATGAGAGCCGATCGCGGCAGTTGACGCGTGAAACACACTTATATAAACGTCGCCATTGTAAAGCCGTGATCTAATTTCGAACTTGGGAAAGACGCGAAAGACGAATTTTCATTGTTTGCGGAACGACGGCGTCCTATAATGATATGATATTCGGAAGAAAATTGAATCTTCGCCGAGCCCTCCTACAATCTCCTACATTTCTCTTCTTTCCTCTTTACTCTCTGCTCTTCCACCCCCGTCAGCTCTGCAAGGCTTCTCGCCGAACCACAAAATCACCACGTTCGCCGAGGCCAAGGACTTAGACGCCATAAACGAAAGAATGCCACCGAGGAAGGACGCGCCGCCCACGCCGGTGAACGAGGAGAAGCCTGTGACAAAGCCGCCGACTCCTGTGGGAGACAAGCGGGACCACAATACGCCGCAACCGCAATCGTGAGCCCCACACTTGTCCAGTCAAGGTACGCGCCACTCCCGCGGGTCTTCCTCGCGAGAGAGAAAGAGACGGAAAAGCAGCGTCCGCTGCGCTGAAAAGAAGTCTTGCAAAATTAACAGTTAGGGACGACCGAGGCTAGATGCCCTATATTTTGGAATTTACAACTTTATCAAACTAATTATTACGACTGACTGTATAAACATGATAGAAGCAACCTTCTCCTACGTATTAATGCCCGCCATGACCTTGTTAACTGTATATTTTGTTTTGTAATAACTAAAATACAAACATGCAGCAACATAGTCATCTCGCCCTGGTACTGGGGGTTCAGTTGCTTAGTAGCGCAGGGTAAGAAGGCACGTATAAAATATGTATCCCAATTAGTAGTTCCAAAGTCACCTCGAGAGGTCTCCACAACCCTCCTGCTGGCCTTTAAATATGAGCCAACTTTACCTTGTCCGCTTATATGTTCTATTTCAATTATTTTTTATGAGGGAAAATTGCATTTATTATCAAAAACAATATATCATACACTTGCGAGGAATTTCAGATGATAACACATCGTTTAATTTTGTTCAATCACGATAAAGATTAATAAAAAATTTCGGGATTCGAAAATTTACTTTGGTATTACCAAATCAGTTTTTTCTATTTCCTAACTGTAATATTATTCCGATTTTAATAAAACGCAGGGAAAAATATTTATGTTCTAAGAGAACCATTTCGCGTTTTTATATCCACTATTCCTCTCAAAATAAATACTAATACTAAAAAAATATTAAATGCTAAAAAAAGCAACATACTCCTAAGATCCTAGTCTCCTTTATATTTGATTAACAAATATATTTAGTTGAGTGATTCAGTTGTATGCTCAAATTTTCATGGTATAATATTATACGCTATTTCGAGCACGTCGCAGTGAGCTGGGTGAAAAGATCGGAGGAAAAGAGCGCATGTTTCAGCGTCTGACGAGAATTGCGCGCGTCACAACGAGAATTGGTCACAACTCCCGCTGTTTTTCAGATGGCGTGGACGGGTCCTAAAGACCCCCGGCGCTATCGCCGCCGCCACCGAACATTGCGAAACCATTACTCGTCTCTTCCCCTGGCTGATACAACTAATGCGCTGTTCATCAGGAGTCAGGAAAAGCCACCGCCGTAGCAAGAGAGGAAGATCAGGAGCGAACGGACGGACGGGAGCGAAGCGCGATTTTTCGTCGTCGATTCAACATTTTTCCAATGCCGAGCGTGATCAGTCACCCTTGGATGCGCGCGTGGAGCAAGAAGAGAGTCGAAGAAAAGGAGCTGCGCATGATCGAAATATATATATACGATAACATATACAACACACATACATACACACACATATACACACACGTCCAACCGGGCGCGTTTTAGCGGGACTCCTCTCCTCCGAGGATCTGCCTCCGTTTCTGTTCGCATGCACTTTCGCGAACAGAGCAAAAACAACGTTTAGCGCCTCCCTTCTGCGATGAGCCGCGCGCGTCCTCCGATCTCTCTCTCTCTCTCTCTCTCTCTCTCTCTCTCTCTCTCTCTCTCTCTCTTTCT